GTTTGTTTTCTTTATTTTATAAAAGCACAACGTTTTGTTGATATTGTGAGTGCACACAAATAAAAGTAGACCCTTTACAGCTACGAATGATTTATTACTCTTACCTTTATGAGTAAAAATGACGGTGTATCCACTGAAAAAAATGCAAGTGATCGCGCTGGCGCCTCCATGTCCTGCAAAGCGTGCTTTAGCTTCCTCTCTCCGCACAAACTATTGGATATAACGCACATTTATCTAGGTTTAACATTTAAACATTGTTATATGCTTATATCTATAGATTTTATTTTAGGCAAGTCGTGATGATTTGAGAAGGCTAAAGCAGGGGTGGGCAAACTTGGCCCTTCCAGGCCACTTTCCTTCAGAGGTTAGCTCCAACCCTAATCAAACACACCTGAACCAGCTAATCATTGTCTTCAAGACTACTAGAAGGCTACAGGCAGGAGAGTTTTATCAGGGTTGGATCAAATCTCTGCAGGAAAGTGGCCTGGAAGGGCCGAGTTTGCCCATCACTGGGCTAAATTGATCAAACATAGGCTCACTGTCTGCCGCTGACCGCTTGGTCGTTACTTTAAAAAAACAAAAACTTATATTTAAGGAACAAAAAATGCTCCAAACGTTTTTTTAAATTAACTTAATAAAAAAACGAAACAAAATATAATCGTTTTGCTATTACATACAAAACTGAACTATTTTAATAGCTGAAACAGTATAAGCTGTTTTGGGAGAAGGGGGGAAAAAGACGGGCTCGGGCCGGTGATTCTGATAAGCTGTCAGACACGGGCCGGGCTAGGGCCTGAGCGTCTCGGGCCGGGGCCGGGCTAGGGCCTAAATTTGAGGCCCGTGCAGGGCTCTAATGCACACTAGTGTTAATTTCGTTAACGAAAACTATGACAAAAAAATGTTCATTGACAAGCTTTTTCCCTTGACTAAAATGAAACGATGACAAGACAACAATTCAGTCAATAAAGATAACTGTGACTATATCAACATGCAATATCGTTGACGATAAAAGACGAGACTAAAATGTATTTAAAAAATAAAAACTATGCCAAAATCTCTCTTTACTTTTTATAAATATTATTGCAGACTGCTGTACACGCCTCTACTACGCGAGCTTTCATGTGTGCAGTTGCCAGATATCAAGAGTTCAAATCCCCAATTCAGAGCTTCTTATAAAAGGATACATTTCTGCCCGGTGTTTTGCATGAGTCCACATTCTATTGATTTGTTTACTGGTGAAAGTGCAATACCTGAAACGTCAAAATAAATTTCTCGGTAACACTTTATTTCGATAGTCCACTTTAGACATTCTATTAACAGTAAGTAACTTTGTAACTACATGTCAACTAGCAGTTAGTAGAGTATTAGTAGACTGTCTGCTTAATATCTTCTAACACTTTCTTTGTCAACATTCTACTAACCCTAAACCTACCCTGTCTACTCTGAGAGTTAGTAGACATGTAGTTGCAAATGAATGAGAATTAGTTGACATGTAGTTGACATGTAGTTGCAAAGTTACTTATAGTTAGTAGAATGTCTAAAGTGGACTATCGAAATAAAGTGTAACCAATTTCTCAAATGACAACAATCATTGCGATTATAATTGAAATTAAAAAAAATAAATACACATAATCACACATCACAATTTTAAAAAAATATATTAGTTTAACCATTATACTGCCGTGCAAAGTCAAAAGATCGTAACTTAGCTTTTGGTCGGAAATGAGTTATTGATATTTTTGGGACATTCAAGACATCCTTTATCATGTACATAGGTATCTTGAGTCAATTTCATTGTTTTTCTGAGAAAATAATGGGTTGTCTTAACCGTAACTTAGAAAAGCCCTGGAGAAACCAAGGCAGAACGCCGTACAACACCAGTTACCACTCTTTGACTTTGTTTGGACTGCTCAAATTGAGTTACGGCATTCTGCCTTTGTTTAGCCACGCATCAATATGAAGTTACAGTGCCGGCTTGGAGTTATACGGTATTCTGCCTTTGTTTTACTGACCATTAAAGTTTGCCGCATTTTAATTACGGTGTAACTTGTTTCATACATCTGCTCTGTCACTGAAGCACTTTATTAAACAAATGAGAGATCGCGATCTACCAAATAGCTCCATATAACAAATCACTGTAAAGACTAGATACCTTGGCAGTAATACATAATCGTAAATAATCTTTAAAGATTTTTTTATTATTTTTTCCTTGATTATTCACCAGGCTGTCACTTCTAGTTGGACGCTTGTGGACTCAAATGCCGTGACAGCATAGCATGTGTAGCATAATCAGTCATAAAATCAGTAGCTTACTTACAGTTCGCAATTAAATCCATATCCTACTTTCTTGTAAAAAAACCTGGCAAAGACTGAGCTTCTCATCTTCCCTGCCTCTCCAACTCTACAGCATGATTTCACCATCCAGTTAGGTTCTTCTACAATTACCCCAGTAACTTTGGTCAGAAATCTTGGTGTAAACTTTGATGACCAGCTGACCTTCAAAGACCACATTGCAAAGACTGCTTGATCTTGTAGGTTTGGCTGGACTACTGCAATGCTCTTCTGGCTGGACTTCCATCAAGCACAATCAAACCTCTACAAATGATTCAGAATGCAGCGGCACGACTGGTCTTCAACGAGCCCAAAAGAGCCCATGTTACACCTCTCTTTATCTCCTTCTACTGGCTACCGGTTGAGGCTCGCATCAAGTTCAAGACATTGATGCTTGCATATAGAACAGCCACAGACTCAGCACCCGCCTACTTCCACTCACTACTACTAATCTACATCCCCTCCAGAAGTCTGAGATCCGCTAGTGAGCGACGCCTCGTGGTACCATCACAGAGAGGCTCAAAATCACTTTCCAGAACATTCTCATTCACTGTTCCTGGCTGGTGGAACGATCTTCCCACCCCTATCCAGAATGCTGAATCCCTGACAATTTTCAAGCGACATCTCTTTAAACGC